ATGGTCACCTTTCTTCCCTTTTCAACCATGATAAGCCCTTGGGTAGTGACTTCCAAAGCCCAAGTAATTTACAAGTTAAAGTGAAGAGACCTTGTATGTGAAGAAGTGATTTGCATGTATAATCCAGGAAAGGCGTTCCTTGGGTCTGTTACAGGCTTGCTATTTGACTTAGGCTTCAACATAACTGCAATTTAATGTTGGAAGTATATAGCAAATTATGAATAGCTTTGTTGTATGTTTTAAAGTCACATGTCCACATGCTTAAATCTGGATATCAGAATTTAAGCAGTTAATTGAAATGTATGACTGTCTCCTAATATACTGATTACAAAGTGTTACAAAAAAAAGACATAATTGCAGATTTATCAGTCTAGATTTAGCATAGCATAGTCACTTTTCTGCATTTCAATGAGTTATGGGTCTTTATAATAGTCTCATATTTAAAAAAGAAGTTGCTTTGATGAGGGTCAATTGCTATATTTATCCTTGGGTACAAGGATATGTATTTGGAATACAGTTACATATTGCATTGGCTTACAAAAATGGAAGTATTAGTTCTCTTCTTCTTTCTAGTTCATGACCTGTCCATCCAAGGTTAGTTGTCTAGGTTTACAGTACCAGACATGGGGGCACTTCAAAACAACAACAAAACCAAGGTCTGGGGATGTAGTGGGAGTGGTTCTGAGCACATATGCAGATGTGTGTTCAATTCTGAGTGCCACATACATCATGGTTACTGGCACATGCCTGTAATCCCAGCTCTCTTGGGAAACAGAAGGAACAGAAGTTCAAGGTTATCCTCAGCTACACAGAGAGTTTGAGGGCAGCCTATGTGACAGGAAACTCTGTCTTTAAAGAAATGTACTTATGCAAATATGTAAAATCATGGAGGAGGACTGGGTCAGATGGGCATGAGTACCCTTATCTGAGGTGTCCAAGCATGGCACAGTGACACAGCTCCTCCTTGCCATGCATGAGATGCCAGCACAGGTTTCACAACATCTAGGAGAGGGGATATCTGGATAGTGGTCCATAAAGTGAGGCCATCATGTGGTGACTGCTGCAGGTACACTTAGTACCTTGTTTTTAATATCCACTCAATAAGATTATACACTAGAATAATGGACATCATTAAACAATGGCTCTCATTAACAATGAACTCTTAAAGTCACTGAGACATGAATAATCATCTCTGACAAGCTGATTCCATCTGAGAAATAAAGAGAATGGTGCATTGGCATCCATGACCGAGACTGTATTTTAATTCTGTATCTGAGGCTGGGCCTCTACTTGTGGCATCATGCAAATAAGCCACGACTAAATATCAAAACACAATGTGGCAGTTATCAGGAAAGCATCTTTATTGATGAAGATGTTCACCCTTCCTTCTCTAGACTGGAGGTTACCACTTCCCCAAGAAGTTGTTATCACTCTTTCTTAGTCCACAGAATGTACAGGAAGCTGTCACATGTTCCTCGGGACCGTCCTGGCCAAGAAAGCCCCTTCCCTGTTCACTGTATTCCTCCAATGAGAAAACCCTCCCAGGTGCCTGGATTCCTTCTAGAGGCTGAGGTGTACAGATCTACAAGCATTCCATAACTACTTGTAGTCAAAACACCACTACACAAAATGAATCAATGAATAGGTTATTTTTAAAGGTGTTATTTAGAG